AAAAAAAAAAAAAAAAAAAAAAAAAAAAAAAAAAAAAAAAAAAAAAAAAAAAAGCCCAGGTTTTTTATTAAAGGTTGTATGGTATATAAATGACACCATAATGATGTTATGCAATTCTGACTGCTTAATTAATCATATAGTGCCATATGGCAACATATTTTATATACTGTATATCTTTAATCATGAGTTGTTGTGCTGCGTAGTCATAGCATACAGTAGTACCTTGATAAAACACAAGATAAGGCACTAATTACTTCACATCCATTATCTTCATACTTCAACAAGTTAAGTACTCTTTTTCCAAAACTGGATAAAGCAATTCTGTGTATCATTACTATGTATGGATGCATCTAACATGTAAATTATGACCAACTATTTTGTGTTGTGGTTTCAGGGTATAATAGGTCAGGAATGGTGCCAGTGGGGAGAGCTGCCCCACCATCGGGGAGAAAAGCCACAATTTGTCAGAGGTAAAACCTAAGTATTTTCTACATACTGTATTAGTAGACTCTAAAATAAGTAAGCATTTGAAACCCCTAAATCGTCATAATTTTAATAAGGTATAGACACACGCTGTCCGCCTATTTTTTATTAATTTGTAGGAAGGAATAGGCCAATTGTTGCATACTAAACAGTATAGGGTTAGTAAAAGGATTAATTTAGATTTTTAAATTTATAAACCAAATTTTAAAATTAAATTGAAGACAAGACAAAGTTACCAAAAGGTGATTGCCATCAGGTGATTTTCCAGTGTAGAGGAGCGTTGCTGGTGTCAGGCGAACGGAGGGCTGTCAAAAAAACAAAAAGGAAATTATAATTATACAGTAATTAATGGTAGGAGTAAAATAAATTAACTCATTGTAACAGAACATTTTGTCTGGCCCCCTAATGGACCCATAGCAGCTTCAATGGAGTACCATCCCTGGTGGTGAACTGTACACTGGCAGACAATCTCTTACTTTAGCCTACTTTCCATAACAATTTCCTTATCATGAATCGTATATTTTTATATTTCTCGATTGTTTTGATTGTATTTTTAACTTGCTGTTGTGTTTGAAATAAAAAATAAATAAATTTAAAAAAAAAAAAAATTGCTACACGCTATCGCTGACCTCTTTGGTGATGCTGATTGGTCAATTGAATCAGGGTGCGTTCCCGATTGCATCAGGGCCAGCTACGCAGTGCAAGGATTGCAGTGAAAACGCTGTAGCGACTGTGTAGCAATTCCATGGCAACCAGGCTTTACTCTTGTGAGTTCCTATTTTTTCCATTGTGCACATCATTCTTGAACATGCAAATGGTCCATGTTGTTAATAAAACCAATACAGTAGTTTAAGTATTGAATGAGAGTGGGCCATCTTTTACAGCAAGAGCACTTAATGAAAATGAACCTGGCACATTAAAAATATCCATGGTTGAGCATGCAATGCATACTCTGTTTACCCCCAATTTGAACCATCTGCACTATGCTGCTGTATTATAGTCTATATAAGTTGGTGCTGTACTGGCTGTTTAATTAATGATATACTGTATAATTTTGTTTAATATATTAATTATATGCAAAAAAAGAATCTACTGTAGGCCTATTTATATTACCTAATTATATACAAATTTGAAAAAAAAATAAAATTCTATTTTCTCCTTTAATAGCAGGAAGTTACATGGTTAGGACCTTGAGTCATTATGAAAACCAGGGAGTTGCTGTCCAAACACTGTGACCCCGGCTATGGCACGACCAAGTTGAGGTCATTAAACTTGAACGACTCAATTAAGCATAAGAAATCTGATTATAATTCTTGATCAGAATTGGTAATATTGCGAAATTCATAAAATCAAATGGTGCCAAGCACAGAGGCTACTGTTAAACAGGATAATGGTTGTCTGATTTTAGTATAGGAATGCAAGCATGAACAATAATATACAAAAAACTTATAAAAGGGAATAAAAATAATAAATTTTTAGCCAAGCTGCTCTGAAGACACAAATGAATTCAAATCTAGCTAAATTGCATTGCTCTCCAGCCAGTTATAAGCTAATCTGTAATTCAGAATCCACTGAATGCTATTCATTATTCATGTCAAAGTCAATGCCCTTTTTGAATTTATTATTTACAAGATAAGGCCATGTGGCCATGTAAAATGAAAAAAAAAAATTGGTCAGCATCTTTATGTTATCAATTTTCATTGTAACGAGGGAGGTTTTTTCCCTTTTTTTCTCACATCGAACATGAAATAAAAGTGTTGCAAGGAAAAACAGCAAAACAGAGAAGAAAACAACAGAGACTAAAATTGCATACAAGAAATTATGTACTTCATCTATAGAAAGCAGGAACTTTACCTATGAATAACAGTCATAATGCAATTATCTCTATATAATCACGCACAATTCACTCTAACACAACAGGCGTAGAGCATAGAACTGCAAGTGGTCTGGCTAGCGTGCAAGACAGGTGGTAAACAAACATACATATTTATTTTACATGGTCTAAGCCCTACTGTAGGTACATGTGCATTCACAAGTTCCTCAGGCCATGGACACTAGGGTGGAAAAAAATAAAACGCTACTTGATGAAATAATGTCATCTATTTTGGATGTTCCCACTTGACCCCAACAGAGCTTCTTGGCAGCCCCTAGACTGAGATGAAATGTATCTTAAATCAAAGGACAAACTTGCATTGAACAGGTATCAAAGAGTATAAAACTGCAAGAGGTCTGACTGCTGGGGATTCTTCGGAACGCAATCCTATTTTAAAAAGTACTACCCAAAAAGGGCGTGGCATTTAAAAGAACATAAAGTGCGTTCATATCGAACGCGTACTGTGCGTCTATAGAATGTATCCTGGAATTTGAAACGCAGCACGAACGCCTTTTACGTTCTTATGAAGGACACGCCCCTTCGTGGGAGTACTTTTTAACGTTCCATTGCCTGTATACAAAATAAGGGCAGTCGGACCTCTTGCAGTTTTATACTCTTTGCAGGTATGCTGTAGCAGATGAACAATAGTCTTACTCATCAGCACCCACATAAAGCACCTGTGCTATAACAATGAAATCAATAGTCAAAGGTCATAACCTTTGACATTCATGTTTCAGCTGTTCAAAACCAAACAATGGATTTGCAATAAGCATACATTATTTGATATAATTCAGTGTGCAAATAGTCACGAATGAATAAATGCATCAAAAATTCATTAGTTTAAATAAAAATGTCATTCTTGTTGAACAATTTCCTATAATTAAAAACTTTTATTCACAAATGTTATTCTTTCAAGAAAATTAATTTGCATTTATTTTTTTACTTACAGAATGTAAGTCAAATCAAATCAAATATGCATTTATTTTCCATACAATACAGTAAGACAGTATACAATAAGAATGCAAATTAAGACAAATACATTGTATGGAAGGAGGCTACAGTTAGTACAGTTAGTTAAAAGTTGTCTTTCTTTCCTTGTACTACCATCATTCTGAAAATTGTCTACACTGCTGAAAAACCTGAAGATTTAACATTTTCAACCAATAAAAAGTTTTGCAATACAAAAAAGTTATAGCTTTACTGTAAACAACATTTTCAACAAAAATTAAATCATAAACAATATTGATGTAATTTCTGAAAATGAGAAAAATCTACATACTGAACTGTTAATTATCCAGCTAAATAAGTAAGTATTCTTAAAAAAAAATTGCAATCAGCACTACATTATCTTGCCTACCATAGCAGCAGAAAGTTAATGAAAACATTACTAAACATATTTACATAAATTTGGAGTTCCACCTTAAGTTACTATCATCAAAAACAGATTTTAAAATAAATTAAATAATAAATAACTGTAAAGTCAATATGTTATTAACTAATTAACTCCTTGACAACTACAATATTTTAGTACCAGTACATAGACTCTTAGCATTTTTAGACCCTGGATGGAAGAATTACATACTGTATACTAGATTTTGTATTCAGTTATTTACTCAGTAAATTAGTGTATATCCAATGCTATTGATTCTTTCACAGAAATGATTGATTTTCACATGCTACAATACACGGAGGAAACAGACTGACTACAACATGCTGTGATTACCAAAATGGCAGAATTCCAAATCAGCCATCATCTACACGAGCCTTTTACACTACAGTATTCTTAGAAATGCAGTTCCTAAGGCTAGACTTTTTGGGTCCGGGCAAGGCACTGACTCCAGAACCTCACTGCTGTTATTTTTCTTGGTACCAACACTTTAAAAGCATCCAGCGTCGCCAATTTTGAACTGGACGTGCAGGACATTTTGAATACATAAAATAGAGACAATTTCCAACAAATGTTTATTGCCCTTTTTTTAAATTGGACACCAGGGTTCCCTCTACACCTTTGGCAGTAGTTGCACCAGCCAGGAAAGGGGGACCCCCTCATCTGGCCTAACCAGGCAATACATTAGTCATTGATATAGTGAGGGCCATCTAATGCATCTTGGAACTAGTTTCTTTCTTATTTTAATATAAGAGCAGGGGTGGTAGCCACTGTGTGTGCGCTGAACCATGAAGGTTTGAAGGTCCCCAGTTCAATTCCCATTACTGCTCTCCTTGTGTTTCAGTTGGAATGCAAGTTTTATTAGTGCACCATCTTTTGGATGCGACGTTTAAGCTGTTGGTCCTGTGTGCAATATGGCCCGTGTGCATGTTAAGAATGCAGTACCCTATTCCCAAAAGAGCAGGGGATTATCTCTTGGTGTACTGCCCAGTCACCACCAGAAGGACTCCAATGAAAATAAGTTTTCTTCAAACTTTTGTGGGTTATTCCTGGTATTTAAACCGAACAATCTAATCTTGTAAAATTGATTCTTTAAAATAACAGACGAAAGTGATAGACTTAAATGAATGCTACACAAGTAGCTCAATATATTAAATTGCTTACTTCAATATACCTCGAAAATTAGACTGAACAATTTTTTCTCTTGCTAATTAAAGTAAATACTGATCCACATCCTATGCAAAGCAATGGCGGTAAAACACCTCTAGGTAATCAATTTAACTAAAGATTTAAAATTATTTGATAGACACTTTGTATATTGTACACACGTACAGTACAGTAACTTTAGTTGATTCTTTCTCAAACTAGTACAGTAGTACTTTAATATTTTGTCACCTTAAAATAATTATAAAGAAATGGTCTTATTCACTTTTCATAAAACAATGGAAAAATCTAGAAAGCAGTTTCTAGACCTTCTTTCCAGTTGATTTATAGGGCAAAAATGGGTGGCATATCCTTTCCTCCTCAAACATGACCCTTCTCTGACCCCTATACAATGGCTCTTATTTGCATAATAAGGGACATTAAAATACAGTAACATTTGTGTCTCAGTAATGTTTACATTAAAGAAATGGCAAAAGAGATGAATCATCATGGATGCAATCGGATGATTTCATAAAGTTCACAAGGGATGCTCTACATGTAATTCAATAAAGCAAGGTAAAAAGAAACTAAGCTCTAGCACTTGCTAACATTCACAGCACATTTCCTTCAGTATTGTTATAATATTAAAAATGTTGCCATTGTTAAAAAAAAAACTATAATTTGCTTATTCTAATAAGACATAGAAGAATCCAATTATTTACTGAATCAGTACATTGACATAAAATCCAAACTGTTGATGTACTGTATATCAGAAATACTGTTAGAATTTATGTACTATTTGACTAATAAGTCCACTGCAATGTTGCACAGGTTAATAATAATATTACTATAGTAATTAATAACACTTTTTCGCATGTCAAAAAACTGAACTGAATGAATGGCAAAATAAATAAACTTAAAAAAATTGCCTGTTTTAACAATACTTAATATTACAGACTCTGGATTGTTAAACTTCAATCTATTTTTACAATTACAAATTTGTATTGCAATAAAAGGAATAAAATTTTGTTAACTAACAGAAGTGGGAGGCTGGTACAGTTGGCAGAGTGGTTTTGAAAGTCACAGTTGGCAATTCAAAGTTTTATTAATTTGAGATTTTTATTATTTGGGATGGGAGCACTCAGTAAATCTGTTAGCTTTTATTGGTATAAACACTAAATATTAATTGGATAGTAAAATAATACAATGTGTCTAGCTCTAGGCTCTACCATATGCTATCTCAGTAACGATAAAGATGGTTAGTGGCAATTGCTAGGAACTCTCACCATTACCGAGATAGCACTCGGTACCATATTCCTAGCTCCTGCCAAGATAATAATTCTTACAAAAAAACCTATGTTTACCTTTTTAGCTGCTTCATCAATTGCACTTTGATTGTAAAACGAGACAACAGACCTGTTATTTAGGTCTCTGGCTGGACTGAAGTCAGTGACTCCAGAATATCTTCGTTTTGGATCTTTCTCATCTGCTGTACTCAATGAAAAGTTCCTAATCTTTGGAAGCACTTTTGATTCAATCAACTGTTGTTGTGTTGCTTTCCTTCTTGCTGTGTTAATTACTCTTGATTGAGAAATAGACACTAAAGAGTTTTGAATGCAATGTAATCTTTTGCACAAAGCCATCGTAGCCTTCAACAATAACAATGTAAACTAGAAATACAGGCACAATTAATATCCTTCATAAAATTCTAGTTAGATTTGGTCTTCAATTCAAATGGTCTGTCCAACAAATTTTGCTTTTATTTGTTGAGCCAGAAAATTATTAGACTGGAGGGAGGAGGTAAATATGATCTATCATAAAGTATATGTCTAGACCTAGGGAAAAAGTTGAGGAGATACACATATAAAAAAACAAATCAATTGGTTTAAAAAATTAACTGTCCATCCTAAATAAGGACGAGGAGGTTTCAGACCTCAAAATAGGGTCTTGCCTCTTGTTTTTGTTGGTTTTCTTGACTGGTGCAGTACACAGTTACTAGGCCTAGTCCTAAATAGATTATGCATTTATGCGTCCCACACATCGAAAATCAAAGCGACCCTCCGATACTCGTTCAGTAATTAACTGTATTCATAAAAACCGCTTGAGAATGACCGAAAGTTTTGCTTTTGTCTCAACCTGTAGCAACCAAACCCTGCCTGCTGTTGGACTGATGAGTGGCAAAGATCCCTTAAAACAGTCAGTCACGTAGGCCTAGCCCCCTAGTCTAGGCCTAGATTTAGTGCGTAAAACAATTGCGTAAGTTCTGTTTTCCTGATGAAAAAATACCCTAAAATAATCAAAGAGTTTCGCCGGATTATTAGAATATTAATTACGTCTTCATTGCAAAATTCTCCGTATTTGAGTTACAAACCATGCAAGTACAGTATATGAAAAGGCAGGCACAAAACCTTCTTCTTGCAGCTGAGGTCAAAACACAACCACTGGAGCGTGATGTCTTTTAAGACTTCCGTGCTTTCATTGGTTGTTGAGCGAAGAACAAAACATTACACAGCGCCATCATAACTCTCACTATTCTTTTCTATTTCAATAAAAGATTTTTCATTTCAATTTAAAATATTATTCTATTCGCATGTCATCTTATAGTATAAACTACAATATAAGATCTATTCTAAACCTTCGGAATAGACAATTTATACTGTTTGTATTGTCTGATTGAAATATGGAATATTCCATTTAAGAATGTTTGTAATTAAAAATAATGTCTGTAAATCGGCGAAAAAGTATTAATATATTTTTTTTCGATCTGTGTTTGTTTGATTCTTCTCTCATTCAAAATTGAAATTTTGAGGTTTCTCCCGAAAAATGTTTTGGTAAGAAGTAGGCCTATATCTTTAAACATTACATATAAAAACCAAAACAAACATTATAGGCCTAATGCGTGTCGATGATCTTATAAAGAATTAATTCTGTGACCGTCTGTGACAACAGGGTGCCCAAGTTTGAAATCCTTGGGCTTTTCTGTTCATTGTTTGTCAGATTTCTCTTTGTTATTGTACTTTGATGATATAATATATTCGTTGCATTACTCCGTTTGCTGTTCCTTAGTTTTCCAACATTCCCCTTCAAAACGCATTATATAGGCCTACCTGCTTGCATTACGTTAAAATTCGGGGTCTTGGGCTTTCTGTGAAAAAAATGCACAGACAATTGGTATCTTAGTTTCATCACATGCGATATTGGACTTGGATTCACAACTCGTGTCATGACTCGCTGAGTTGTTCCCCGCATTCGCAACGTGCGCACGTCCCTTAATCCACCCCCGATTGGAGATATTCTTATATAGGCCTACATACATTTTTATACCTCCATGTATATACAATATAGAGAAGGACATACATGTATTCATCATAATACGCCCTGCTTTGAAGAAACGCCTCCCTGGAATAAACACCCCCATCCTACAATGAATCTGGACCATTCGCAAAATTCGCGAAAGTTTAATACACGCGAAATTTTCTGGTTTTACAGATATTAAGGAGGTTTCACGTGTATGGCTAGTGTGACGGATACATTATCATTTTGACATCATACGCCGGCTGCAATCGGCTAAACGTGTGGACGACACGCATATCTCGCTCACTATACATAAGCTGTCTCTTATACACATCTAGATGTGTATAAGAGACAGATATAAACGTGCCAATTTTAATGATATTAGGTATGTTTTCAATGAAACTGATTTTAATCCCGTTTATGAAGCTAATGTTGTAAATACTTCTTGGACTCATTTTGTTAATATTTTTACTCGTGTATTAGATGCAAATATTCCTAAGATAAAAATAAGAGATAGGCCTACTTCTGCTTCTAGGTGGATTGATGCCCAGGTTCGTCATGAGAAGGACAAAACTGTAATTCAGATTGGCTTCCCGTTGTCTCCGGAGTTTCTCAGGGCTCCATACTTGGGGTGTTTTTGTTTCTTTTATAATTAATGACTTGCCCAGCTCTGTCCACCACTCCACTCAGGCAATGTTTGCTGATGATTCCAAGTGTTTCAAGTATGTCTGATTGTAGTAACTTGCAAAATGACATTGACTCTGTCTACTCATGGAATACTACTTGGGATTTGCATTTTAACATTTCAGAGTGTCAGATTATCTATTACTAGAAAAATCAAAAATAAAATTAATTTTTATTATAAATTGAATGGTATATCTCTCAAAAGAAATGATTCTATCACTGATCCTGGAGTTGATATATATCATCTACCCTTGATTGGAATGGTCATGTTAATAAAACCATTGGTAACTGCAATAAAATGCTTGGAATGATTATGATGCTCCATGTGAAGTTTCCAAAACACTCTTCTTATCATTAACCTTGAGTACTGTAGTTCTATTTGGAGCGGTACATCCAAGAGAAACATAAGGAGTATAATTGAGGGTATACAAAAACGTGCTACCAAATTCATATTGCACTATCCCGACCTTGATTATTAGTTGCGCCTCATGCATCTTGACTTGTTACCGTTATCTTTTAGGCGTGAGATCAGAGATCTCTTTATTTTTTTTTTAAAGTTCTTTTGGAATTTATATTTCTATTGATGACTATGAGCCGTCTTAATAACCTTCCTTTTCCTAATCTAATCTTCCTTTAGCAAGCCGATCAGAGTGGAGTTGAATAGCTTGGTGGTTAAGATGCTTGCCTTCCAATCCTAGGGAAATTTAAAAAAAGAATAAATAAAGAAAAAATAAATAAATAAATAAAAATTAAAAAAATAAATAAAAATAAATAAATAAATTTTTACTTTCCATCTTTCAAAAACAAAGTGATTGAACTCCAAAATTGAAATCTAATTTTTTTTCCCGATAATATCTGCACTTGGGTTTCATTTTGTCACTGTTCTGGTTGTTGTTAGATTATGATCTTTTTCTTTTCATAATTTTAATTGTTATTTGTAAATTAGATATATATTTATTCTTATGCAAATTATATTTATTCTTGTAGTTTCAATTTATCTCACTCTGGTAAGACGGCCCTGTAGAGGTGCTTGTTCACCTGTTCTGTCCTTGCCTGTTAAAGTTGAATAAAATAATATATATATATATATGTATAACATACATATGTGTGCATGTGATATACTGTAACCAGAGGTTAACATTTACTGCCTATTCAATTAAAACTTGGCTAGTTCTTTTTGAGTACAGCACTGTCTATAGTATTTTCTTACACAGTGCCATATTAGTTGTAAGATACTGTAGTAAAAATCCTTCACAAAGAAAGTTGTAGAAATGTGATGTGGTTTATTTACAAACTATATATTTACAATCTACTAAATGCCTGAATCATGTATCAGTGATACCTATACTGTCCCATTGAAGTATTTATTGGCTTACAAATACAAAAAGGACAAGATGATGGTGGTGACCATAAAGGTAGTATTTTGTTGCCATACAGCCACACATATAAATATTTTAAAGCTATCTGCGAAATTATGGTATAAATCAGATCATGTGAGGTTTGTTAACAAAGTAAATACATGCATTTTCAGTATCACCACAATTTGAAGTTTTAAGATACTCATTGTTGAAAAACAACAAATGCAGTGCTTGTTGTTATAAAAAAAAAAACCACACAACAATGTATAACATTATTCATTTTATATTTGTAAGAGTGATAAGGAAAGAGGAAAGTGGAATTTTTTTTTTCTGTATTGATGAATAGTTTGGTTCATAATGCTAAATTTAATGCAATGCAAACACAACTATAATAGAATGTACTCAAATAGAAATATATGTACTTCAGAAGTACCATGGTATTAGCTCAATAGCAACATTTCCATTATGCAACAAGGAATGCATACAAAGCTGCTGGCCAAGATTTCACTCCTTGTTTTGTAATGTTTGGCATCCTTCAGCTTGGAGCATGAGATTGTAGAATACATAACAGTTAAAAGTGTCTGATCTTACGGCAGTGTCTGCTTTGAACGCTAGATCTAAGCAAAATCCAATGCTGCAATTCTGTTAAGCAACATTTCTAGAGTTATTTACATGCTGGAAGATATGCCTCTCAATGTGCTGATCTCAGAACTGACAAATAAGTTACGTAAAAGGCAAAGAACGAGGTACATAATATGTTCAATCACCTCTTCTGCAAATGAAACATATCCCGTCACTCATCACTCCAGCTTAAGATTGAGATGGTTGTGTTGACATAGTGACATCAAACTCTTAATAACTGCTTACTCTAATTGCATGATCTTTGTTAGATAAGCCTGGTGTCCTGAAAATCGCTACACTGTTGCTGCAGTAGCAGTCCCCGAAGCAATTGTGAGGGCTCCCCAATTCGACCGACCAATCAACATCACCGAAAGCTGTCGGGGATAGCGTGTAACAATTGTATGGGAACCAAACTTTACTTATACTTTGTAATCATTGTGTAAATACACTTTCAGCCTTCATTCAAAACCTTCCTGCTTTTCCTTCACGCAAACCTACAAAATGAAATAAAAATATATATGGAAACTAAATTTCATCTAAGCTCAAAAGTTATTTTACTATTATTTAATTTTTAATTTATGTATTAATAATTCATCTTAAAACATAGTACAGTTAATGCTGTTCAGTCACTATCAACAACAATCTAGAGTTCATCTACGCACAGCACATTGGCAGGTCATTACCAACGAGTTGAGTGGCTGAGGGGTAAGGTAGGGGCGACCACTTACTACAGCCATCGCTGCTGGTTTGAGTCGCTCCTTGCCCAGGGTTCGGGTCCAGTGTACACACTTGGCTCGTGTGCACTTTAAGGAACCCATTGCATCTTTCGGAAGAGTAGGGGGTTAATTTGATGCTATGGTTTATTTCAGCCCCTGTCGTTGTGGAATGACGTGAACATGAAGCCACTAAGCACCTCTCTACGGCTGCTACAATAACTTCCAAAACAAATATCAGTGATAAACCTCTAAAAAGATATCATTTTTCTGTCTCTAGCAGTAATGTTGAACAATTTGTGCCTCAGATAGCTTAGTCAATGGACGGTAGGCTGGTTTTGGTGCGGGGGAAAGGGGTGCAAAACTAGCCTGGGGTGCGAAAATTGAGAATGTGGAACTAAATCCCTATTTCAATGAAAACTTAATGGTCATATTTAGTATTTTAATCCACTGCCAACCAACAGTGGTACAAAATTAGACAATCAGGTGTGCTTAATGGACCCCATTGGAAATAAGTTTCTTCATTTTATGGGTTATTGATGGCATTGTTTTTTATTCCTTTATTCATGTAAACCGTGACTTTTTAATGAAATTTTATTGTACTGTTTTTATGATGATGTAAATCTAATTTTTTATGCGGGATGCTGAATAAAAGAAAACTAAACAAAATAACGTTTTATGATAAATTGTCAATTTAGAATCACAAACCTTGAATCTCTCTTCCAGAAGAGATACCTCACTGATGAGATCAGTAATTGCATTGGTGAAAGCTTCTTGAGGACTGTAGTCATTGCTTGTTTGAACTCGTAGAACAAATTTGTGTTCTAAAGGATGGGGAACCTTGTACCCGGCAAACAACACCTGCGGATCCTTCAAAAGTTGCCTGAAATATAATGTAATATCACACTTCATATAATGATAGAATTACTGAAATTTATGTAGATTTTGCTTTTCAAATTACAAGAAAGTTGAGTGGAGTTGAATACTTGGTGGTTAAGATGCTCGCCTTTCAATCCCATGGTCCTGGGTTCGAATCCTGTTAGATTCCAGTATTTTTTCTCATGACAAAACAACTCGACTCCATAAGCCTTGTTATGAGACTTAGTTTATGTTGAGCATCATGTGTATATGTTTGTCAAGTGAAGGGATTGCCACCTTTCTAATAGGACAGTGGTTAAGTTGCTATTGGTAATCCTTGGCCATGTGCCTAAAGGAATACATTAAAAAAAACAAAAAACAATGATTCATCATCAAGTTCTACAAGCAACTGGGGGGGGGGGGCTCTCATAAAATCGTGTGCATTCTTGCCAACAACCTGTTAATAACTGCAAACCAGGTTTATGGATGAAATTTGCTGCTCTGTTTAGTAGGATTAATTGACATGTAGCATCATCAAGATGTTTGATCACAAATAAAAGATGGGCTACGGTAAACTTACTGACGAAGCATGTTTCCTAATGTATGATCTTCTTTGTTGACTGTAAATATAGCAGCATTTGGCACCTTTGTATCTTTTTCAATTGTTATCCTGAAAAAAGCCAAAGGCATCCTGCAAATGAATTATTCTAATCAAGAAGACACTGACAGTACATACCTTAGTACTTACTACTTAATTTATAACCATCTTGATATTGTTGGCTGAACAACAATCAATGAATTAAGAATCAATTGTAAGGCTTTGAGCCATAACTAACAATGAATATGTGATAAGAGGATAGTAGTAGCCTAAAGCTATAACCACACACCCAATCAATAAGTTGTAGGTTGTGACTATACCAACTAGGCCTAGGCCAGCCCTAGCTGACAGGTTAAGGGTGGTGCAGCCCCGCAGTGCAGCAGTAGCCCAGCAGTAGTTGGCGGCAACTAGGCCTAGCCTAGCCCCTAGCCAAGCTATACAAGTTATTTCCAGCCTCAGGCTCTAAATGTAACCAAACGACACCTACTTTTTTTCTCCTTCAAAAAGAATAAATGATTCGAATGTTGGCGGTGCATTCATTGCTAGGCCTTTAGGTAACGGGTACAAGAAACCTTTTTATGTCTGCCTTTTCCAACAAAATCACAGCGTTTAGAGCGTGGCGAAAAAACATACAGTGCGCCCTCCCATGCAAGACCATAATTTTTGGATCTGAAAAAAATTTAATTTGGGTGAACTCGCCCTTTGGTTTAAATAAACAGCATAATTAGAGGGTAATCAAAACCGAAATTATTTAAATGGAAATCATGTCTAAACAGTGGTCTTCAAAATCAGCATAATTAGAGAGTTATCAAATCCATAAACATTGAAAAACAAAGACCAGGTGGTCTAAAGTTATATTTCTTTTATCCTGAAAAGATGATATAATAGGCCTATTTATTTCCTTTTTTAATTTCACTTTCTGTGTTCGGCTTCTAAATGACTGAACCATTAATATAAAGTTTTTAGCAACTGGAACCAAATGAATAATTAATGAATTTAAGTATTTTAGTAACTGGAACGAAATTTTGTATATAGGCCTATCTCATTAGGCATTGCAATGATATCCTGTACAAATCACTAGGACTAAAATAAAGTCGCACACTCTTAAGCCTGTTTTCACTATGCAAATTTTCGCGCGAATCGTCGGAAAGCGTCGGTTCATGCGCAAGCGCATCCACATTTCTATCGGAGTTTTTGCGAAGCGGAAGAAAGCGCAACCAATCAGAGCTCAGGAAGCGAACCGACGCTTTGGTCAGGTTCACACGAGAGCCCTAGTATCCGGATCGGGAGAACCGTTAGTGTTAACCATTAGCACCCATGTGTGAACACCCGATCGGTTAGCGCTAACCGTTACCAGGATACCGCTGTCGTCGGTTAGCAAGTTAAGGCGTTTCTATCATCAATCAATCACACGTACGCGTTTCCAATTTCCAGTTTCATATTGGCCAGTGATTCGATCATCATCTTCTTGGTATCTGGATCGGGGATTGTCTTGTATGCCACACAGCAGCTAACGGTTACCAGATCCTGCTAACCGTTAGCTGCCCTGTGTGAACATATCCTTTGATTATTCGCGCGAATAAGTTCGCCTAGTGGAAATCCGGTTTTATATTAGCAGGTCTCTCAGTATAACTAGGCCTAAAGCCGGGTACTCACTGCGTCGAATCCAACTCCGCTCCCTGTGAGCGATAGACGTCGCAACGCCGGGTGCTGATTGTCGGTAGCAATCTGAACGGATCGTCATTAAAAACGACCCGTTGCGCTCGCGTCGTCGCGTAGCGTTCTTCGTAGAATTGCGTCGGCCGACGACCGTCGTGCGCAGTGAGTGCCCGGCCGACTTTAAGCTAGGATGAGGCCAACAAGAAAATTCTACAAAGTTGTTTTAACGCTGTATTTTAAACCAAAATACTGAAGGGTGGTGTGAGTGTAGAGACAGTAGGCCTACCATGAACGGGACTATAATTTAATAAGCAAAATGCGCAAGCCATTATTGAAATTTAATGTTTGAGATCAAGATATTCAAATAGGGACAAAACTGTTAAGCCTAAAACCGGAAGGTCCACTGATAAATCTCAGATAAGAGAGTATAATACATACTCCAAGTATCGAAATGCACGCCATCCTGTTAAGCCTGGTTTCAATTAAAATCCATACACGCTATCACTGACTCCTTTGGCGACGCTGATTGGTCAGTTGAAACAGGGAGCGTTCCCGATTGCTGCGCGTCGGGTACAGCTACACAAGGATTGCGCTGTGAAAATGCTGTAGCGACTGTGTAGCGATTCAATGTAAACCAGGCTTTAGAATCGATAAGAATGCTTTGTGTCACATCGTAATTCTCTCACATCCAGTCACTGATGTCAATGAACAGATGATGCTTCTTAATGGAAAAAACACTGCTATGGAAATAGGTTAAAAAAGGAAATTTGCCAATAAAATCAGTGACTTGTTTGGTTCGGTCAATAAAGATTGATTTATTTTTGTGTGACTGTTGTCTAAAGCCGGCCACTTACAGCGCTCGACGTTGTACGGCCGTCGTACGACGCAGTGAGTGGCCGGCTTAAGACAAAAATCATATTGGATAAAATTATTAAGGTTGGGCCTACTGAACATTAGGCCTTATTAACTGTTATCCTTTTGAAAATTCAATATTAGTCACATTTGTTCCAATATTGTAGCATATATGTGTCAGAAAACCCCCTCGAATAACAGTATACTAAAACAGTACGAACGAGCCAAGGGACTTTTTCAATTAGATGGACTAATCCAAAAATCTCACAGGTTCTAAAACTTTAAACTTAAAAACTATGGCAACATTGTCTTGTCGTTGTTAAATATGAGATATTTATGAATCGACGTCTATTATAATGTTTTTTCCAATACACATTAATGTCTATTAACGGTGCATTTTTCGTTTTAAACTTGTCTGGTTATGACTTTTTCAAGTGTTATGTACTGAGGTCATTTTGTTTCTTGGGACTTAAAAAAGGGTGGTCACTTTTTCAAATTCAAGGCGTCTCACAATTAGCTGGTGAGCTTAGTGTTAAGAAACAGGTGATCAGTTGATGCTTTAAAAAACTGGTCTCAAATTAGAGGGATCCCGGAATTAGAGACGTTTCGAATTTGAGGGTGAACTGTATAAATAGTCCATTCTGTTCTTCTCTTTACACTTCATGCGCTTGTAATTATTAGGCCCCATAAAAAAATATTAGTTTATTACCCTCTCCCTCATCACTTTTGGGGAAATTCAGATTGGTTTTTTTTTTTCAATCAACATATATTTTTATTTCAAACGGTCGTTTTTCCATAAAATATGATTT